GAGCAAAGCCGTGGAGCGCGCGGGCAGCGGACAGCCCTGTCCGCTGCCCGCGTGTTCCGCCGCTTTGCTTCCTCTCCCTGGTCTGCTGGAGACCAGGGAGAGGGAGGGCCCCGTTCGTAACTGCGGATCCGACTTAAGTCGGATCCGCGTAACTCGGGGACTGCCTGTACTATATATATATTTTCGATAGTCTCTAAGGTGCCCCAGGACTACTTATTGTGTTTAAAGTTACAGGCTAACACAGTGACCCCGCTGAGACTCTGTCATGTTAAATTTGCCACCAGAGGGAGCCCTGTAATGTGACCATCATAGCACAAAAAGAACTAACGCTTGCATAAGGGCTTTATGGACTGCAGCCTATGAAAACTCAAAGAATTTGCTAGGTTTGGCTGCTTCACGAAGGCAAAGGTGTATTTTCCCCATTCGTTTATTATGGAGGAACATATAACACTCATGCCTATTCAAATGATTTCTTGCAGATGATGGCAGTGAGCTTAGTCTAAGTTTCTCACTCCAAATTTATGGCCTGATCCAAAGCGCTAAAGTCAGCAGGAGTGTTTGGATCAGTCCGTGGGCTCGTTAGTAAAAGTGAGTATTGCGTCTGTTCTTCAGGGAGGTCGAGCCTGCACAGATCTGATGGAAGTAATTGAAAGTCCAATTGATATCCATTGGCGCTGCAGGTGCTCGGTGTTTTGGAAAATCACAGTCGTCTCCTCCCCCCCCCATGTTTAGGTGTCGAACGTCTGGATCTCACTTGAGATGTTCAAGTCAGCAAACGTTGGCCACAAAAAATAAAATCCCTCTCTACCAATTTCCTGTCAAGTTAACTCTTGTTCTGAATTGGCTGGCGTCAGGACAATGATTCAGTGTAAAGAGACAGACCACAAATTGCATTCGCTGGAATGGAAATAGAAGCTGAAATAATTTACAGAAAATACTTTTGAGAGGACACGACCTGTCTCAATCTATTTCTTGCCCCCAGCTTATTGCATCTCTCCCTAGGTGCTGCTACCTTGAAATTAAAGGACTGGAATTGAAAGCGCTTTCCTTGGTCCTACCTAGCAGAGCCCTAATGTTACTTAGACTTCCTCCTGCATTGGGTGGCTAGTATTCTTCTTACTAACCACATCAGTGTGTCACCTGGAACGTGCTGCGTGTATCTGTATGGTCATCCTTAGTCCTGCCTCACTTCCCCCCCATATGTGGGTTTGCATTCGGAATATTTTGCAATCTTGCCTAGGCAGAATATCAATCTCATTCCTTTGGTTCATGTTCCAGTAACACAGAAGGCCCCTGTCCATGGGATTTTTCTTCCAGAGCCCCACAGTGATCAATAACCAAGTAATCCCCTCTCCTCTCCATTTAGTGTGCAGTCAGCCTCTTTGCTCTCACACAAATTGCCTTCTAGAACTGTTGGCTTTGCTAACTGGAGCCCCCTTCTAACGTTAGGAAATCCCAAGGTAAGATCTAATCTGACCAAGTGCACCTAGGGGAATGAGTGGAAGGGGTAATCGAAAACCCTTAGCATGCAGAGTAAATGTAAACGGAAAGGAGGCTAATAGGGAACGTCAGCCACTTCAGTGCTTGAATTGCAGTGGTAGCAAAAGTGTAAGGGCCAGATCCTTCAAGTACTAAGGGCCCTTACCATTGATTTGTGTGGTAGATCAGGACACTCATTAAGAATTTACTGAGTAGGAGAAGCTGAAGGCGCAGCAGAAGGATCAGGGCTGCTTGGCATCCCTGCCTCTGACTAATCACTTCCCAAATGTCCTATTCTTTACCAAAATAGCCTGGGAGATCTTTGTCCTAGATTTGATTTTAACACATAAGGAAGAACAGGTTGAGACTGTGAAAGTGAAGGCAGCTGGGGGGAAAGTGATCCTGAAATGATGGAGTTTAGGAGTCTAAGGAATGGTAGGAGGCAGAACAGCAAAATTAAAGACAATGGAATTTGAGGCAGACTTTAGCAAACTCCAGGAGTCGGTAGGGAAGAGCCCATGGGAAACAAGGTGAAGAAGAAAAACAAGTGACCACAGTTGGCAGGTTTTGAAAGAGACATTATTAAGCATGCAAGAGCAAACTTGTTCCATTGTATAGGGAGGCTCTGACGTGTGACAAGAGACCACCCTGGCATAACCTGAATGATCTAAAAATCAATGAGACTTACAAAAGTGGAAACTAGGTCCAATTACAATGGATGAATATCTACTATTTGAGAGAGTCTGTCTGTTCAAGAACTCCTCCTAAACAGTAAAAGCTAGGGCCACCAAATTTGGTAGGCAGCTTCTGCTTATTATAACTTAAAACAAGGTCAGGGTTTGATAGTGCCAGGAAAATGGGATTGCATCTCGTAAAACCATACAGAAAAGAGACAATCACCTGGCAAGTGAAAGAGGCTAGCTGGGGGTGCCCCCAACCCCATCAGGGACTGTCCCAACCCCAAGCCTCCTGCTGCCCATGCATCCTTTAGGGAGAGCAGAGACTGGGAACAAAGCTCTTCCTCCCTCCCCTCAATTCATATGGGAACATTGCTGGCTGTTCCCCTTCATCGGGGAGCGAGGGGAAAGTGCACAGTTTGCTGCAATTCTTGCTCTGGCGGGGGAGCGCAGGGGACAGATGAGATGTGCACTTTGCTTTCGCTCTAACAGAGACAGGAAGTGGAAAAGCAAGCAACCCTTGTAGGAATGGGGGGGGGGGGGGGCCTCCCCTACCAGCCCCTGCTCTGAGCCCCTCTTCACCCCCAGCCTTGACTCCTGCACTCCCCTCCAACCCTCTGTCCTGAGCCCTCCTCACCACCCATCCCTGAATCCTGCACCCCTACACTCCTTACCCTGAGCCCCTCCACAACCCACCCCCCTGCTCTGAGCCTCTCCTCATCCCCCCCACCCCTGAGACCTGCACCCCTACACT